AATGAGTAGTGATATAATTTTATGATAAAGATCAATAAGAAAATATTTTGATGGTTATTTCAATGACTCCACATTTCAAATGTTAAGTACTCATATCAGAGTAAAACTTAACAAAAAAATTTATTTAGGTAGGTACTTATTAAAACATCATTATAAACATTCAGATTTGAAAAACATTATTTTTATCCCCCTTACCTATATGCATATTTACTAGATTAATTGTTAACGATTGTTACTTCCTAATGCAATAGGTAAATTAAATGTGAAATTTGATGTTATTAAATGTACATATTACTTAATAAATTGAGTATACTGAAGAAGTAAAGTTAATAAGTTAAAATACCATAATAAATGCTGTTATCTTATAAGATAAAACATTTAGGTAGAATCCATAGATAAAAACAGAAAATGTCAATAATTAATATGGAATCAGCAATGTACATGGATACTCCCGTAACTACATTTCAAGTGTCAGAATAGTGGCATTGTTAAGGTCCGTAAGCATATGGTCCTATTCTTAAGACACAGAATGTATCTAACATACCGAATTTTATTCGATGTTGACCTGCTGTCCATTGAACGCCAATGCGAATCGATGCATGACAATATTAAAATGGTCAAACTGAATTGTTGCCAACGCTTGATGCGTATGGASATTGGAACAACCGCACTTTAGTTGACATACATTTATCACGAAAACAAAACCGTAATGACGTACTACCTCATAACAATTATTATTAAAACGAACTGGCACGCAAAAGCTATCGCGGAAAATCTCATCAGTGTCACTCACGAGCGCGAGCGCGAACTCGACGTCATTGTTGTCGTTATTTGAGGTCGACGAACGATAAAAAAATGATCATAAAATGAAAAGGGACCGTAGAATAAATAATAAACAATTAACGACACGGTCAACATTTTTTACTTACAGGTTTGTGTTGTTGTGCGTCGGTCTGTACATTAAACGAAAATGATTCGCAGACTGTTATCGGCGGTGGCGGACGATCTTTGTCACTACCTAGTGCGAAGATGGCATCCGACGGCGGAAGGTGCGTCGCGGGCCCGCGGTTGCTGCAGCGGTCGTCTCCTACGTCGTTKCTGTTGGCGCAGCGATCGTACTACCACGGACAGTTCGTATTGCGGGCGACTGACTGTCGTGAACGTTACCTTCATCACACGCGAAAACCCGCGGTATCGCCGTCCCCTCACGGCCTCCGACGTTCGGTTTGTGTTTTCCGCGAGTCCCTTGAGAATACCGCGGTCGTGGTCGTCGTCGTCACCGCCGCCACTGTCGTTATCGCCGTTGTCGTCACTGCTGCGGTGATGGCAAGCTTCGTAGTCGTTGGGTCCGGCGGCGGTTGCTGCTGTTTCTTGGATGACGGACGGACGCGGAACCAGTACTGGAAAACTGCAGTTGCGACCAATCGCAGACGCCGTTCATATTATTATTACTATTATTGTTATTACTATTATTATTATTATTATCAYCAAAACAACAATAACGGAGAACAGAGAACAAACAAACGGAACGCAATAAAAATTTAAATTAAAAAAAAAAACTCACAACGACGAAAATATTACGGCACAAGACACATATATTTATTGTTCATTATTATGAATAATCATATAATACACGCGATAATATACACAAAAATATTATTTTATTATACTGTTATACATGTACGCATTCGATTTATAGTGTACGTGTATATATGTATAACAATATTATATGTGGGTTATAACTTGTAAGTATATATGTATGCTGATTTACATATATTTATATAAATATATATGTGCGGGTATGTGTACACGATATATATAATGTATATATATATGAATATATATATATGAAGTATAAACAAAGTATATACACGGTACCGTTCACGCACACGCACAAGCAAATACACGTCACACACTCACACAAACTCAAACGCTCACTCACACACACTCGCGCGGGACAGGCGTTAACGTACGRGAACGCGCACACGCACGCACGTACACAGCCACACGGAATCAATCGTTTGATTAGTAGTAGTGGTAGTCGCCACTCACCAGTCACCAGCCAGCAACGAAACGGGGTGAAAGAGAGAAACGTAATATGGGAAAAAAACAACACCCACCGTTCGCCGATCGACCGTTGCGGCCGTTTGCCCGTGCGTTGGGATATGGCCACGCAGAACGTTCCGTCGACCGTTGCGTACCACTCGCCACCCCCACCACCTTCCAGCCGATGCACAACACCGATGGAGTCGTTACGCACTTACGCATCTGTCGGAAAGTGCGCCCCGCCCGCCTATCGGTCATCGGTACCACTGTCATCCGCTAGGTGTCGCGGCATCCGCATCCGCTCACCAGCCAGAGACGCGCATGTACGAAATTTACGGCTCCGTACCAAATAATATTATTGTTATTTGTTATTATTACATTTTTGTTTTTCATAATCGTTAATCGTTATCATCATCAATATAAGTAGATATAAGTCYATAAAAAAAAAGATAAAATACATCGGGTCATTTCTATCCAAAAATACATAATATACCTATTCGGTACCAACTGATAATTGATATCAATAATAAATAAATTATTAAAAAACCACATTGTAAATAAAAACATTCAGCTCTCCAAATTTAAAATATAATTGGGTAACCATTTTATTTTAAATATTCAGTCATGAACAATATTATTTGATTGTTGAACTAAAAATTTGTTAAGAATTACTTATGAATAGGGCCCGGATTTCAAAACAAAGTGCATATTTTTTTGGTTGGTCATAGACAATGCTTTCCAAGTACGTAATTCGTTTCATGTAACGAGTGTTTCAAAGTTAAAAATTTTATTTTGCACTTTTTGTACATTTTGGCATTTTTTTATTTTTAGGATTATTGGGTTATTTTTATTTTTTATGGTTTTTAATGCATATTTCAATATTTGTTCAATATTCTATACAAATTTAGCGTATTTATTAATATATATTTTAGTATCTTTGTTTAGAATGGATAATATTTCCCCAAAACATATAAGTGTCAACATCATAGCAACATCAAGTAAATTTTTCCAATTTTTTTTTATTATTATTAATAAAATAATAAATATATTTTAATAATAAATTCCAAATTAAAATACTAAATGTATGGCAAAAATATAAATGGCATTTTGAAGGTCATTTTTAAGGTAAAATTCATTTTTTAAGGACGTTTTTAGTTATTTTTAAAGAGCATTTAAATCCGAGCCCTACTTATGAACTATGAGGGGGTGTGGTTTTGAATCACAATAAATAATTTAAAATCCCCTATGCACGTAGGTATAATAATATATTTATAAATACTATTATTGTTTATTTATTACAGAAAAATAGTATTACAAAATACTAAGTTGTAGGTAATTTCGAATATTATAAACAAGGTATTAAATGGAATGATACAAAGAAGATAAATGCCATTTCCCCCAATTATTAAAAATCAAATGTTCGTGTAATACTTATAGTACCTATATAATCTATATTCTATGTATTATGTATAATGTATACTGTATATAGGTACCAATTACCAATATACATATTAATATACCTAAATTTATGTATAC